CCCAGTTTCTCCTCTAGATGGATGATATTTTTGTTTAATTGAGACACATATTGACAATAGTTATTGCATAATTGACATTAAATGATACAATAGTATGCAAAACATTAAGTGATGCACATTTGGCTGTTCCTTTTCAGAACTAAAGTTAGCACATGTTAAAGGTCGGTCATGACAGGCCATTAAGAGATTTAAAAACAAATAAAAGAACTTAAAAAACGATCCTAAAACATACAGGTTGCCAGTGGAGTGAAATTAAAATGGTGGTGATGTGCTCAGACTTTTCTGCTCCAGTTAAAAAACGCTCTGCAGCATTTTGCACAACCTGCAGACTCCTAATGGATGCATCACATAATTGCCATTAAATGATACAAAACATTAAAATGATTAAATGATGCAAACCATTCGTAATGCACATTTGGCTCTTCCTTTTTGGAATAAAAGTTAGCACATGTCAAAGGTCAGTCATGACAGGATTTCTATTTTTCTTTGTCATTTGGAGAGATGATTATGACAGTGTTCACTATTGGGTCACATTATATATATCCAATAATTTACTTTAATTAAAATAAACATTATATATACTTATTCATACTTTTTGTCACTTTTCCTGAGAAATCACATGCACTAAGAGTATGGCTTATAGGCAAGCTGAGTTTTTATAGAAAACATATTCTGTTAGCACATCATAGCATAGTTTGACAAGCCTTGTTAAGCAACACTGTTTGTCCACATGCCATCTAACAAACTTTCTCTGGTTCCTCCAAAACACCTCAGAGCTCTACAAAAATGATTTGATAGCAAAGAAGACCTTCCACCTGACCTCACTTGTTCACAACATGGCATCATTTGTATGAAACATTGTGTACAAATTTGAAAATAAATGTATATTTTAATTGTTGTCTCAGATACTTGATAACAATTATTAACGAAAGAGTTTTGAGAATGCAGTTTGCACTAGGTTAGGTCCATAATTTGCTGCAAAACACAGTTTTTGTCATTTTTCTTCTCTACACCCCACAGTGGATTTAAAGAGGAAAAAGTCAGTATGTGATTGTATTTAATGAAACGTGGTTGAAAAGCTTTGTTAAATTCCCCAAACTTGTTCATGAAGCTCAGCCACGTGACAAGTTCACCATCTTTATGCCCACAATGTCCAAAAGTCCTTATTAACTCATATGCAGTTAGTTCTGGTCAGTTGATGTGTTAGAAGCCAATTTAAACACTGTGCAGTTTCCAATTATTCCGTGCATATGCATGTGTCTACATGCCATAGTGTTTTTTTATTATCATTTATTTTCAAAAACAGAACAGGACAGAAAAGGGCATGAAAGGTTTAACCTGAAATTCTCTGAAAGTGTAATTCTGGGAACTGCTGCGGGAAACATGGATGACAGTAACAGCACAAAAGCTCTTTACGTTAAAACATGTTTGACAGGTTGCACTGGTTTATTAAGAAGTTAAAGTTCAGTTTATAGACTTCACATCGTTCAGCCGCTTCTTTTCTTCCTCTGCTCATGTTTCATGTTTAAAATCACTCAGTTATACAGACATAATAAATGATATGAGTATTCAGAGTGATCACGGTTCAGCCTTTTATGTTGTGCATATCGTTTTCAGCTGCTTATGTTTTCTTATACCACAGCCTTTTTTGCTCATATGAATAGATGATGGTGACAATATATATAAGTCTAGAACTGTTTTGTCACTGAGCTCAGAAACACATGCAAAACAAAGAAGACCAGGAAATGCTGATTATCATGAAGGTTCCTCCACCTAATCACCTCATCAATACTTCAGTGAACAACTGTGAGAGGTGTATAAAAACTTTACATTATAACAGGATTGGACCAAAAGAGGCGAAACTGAATATGCCAATGGAAGATCAAGCAGAGGTATCTATGCCACATTTCAATAGGGGAAAAAGACATTTTCAATGAATAAAATCTCATTTCAGAGTAGTGGCATTTAGAGAATAGTGTTTTTAAGTAGACCAACGGGAGAAATATACCACAGCCTTTTTTGTCCGTTTGAATAGTCACAATATATATCATTCTAGGACTGTTTTGTCACTGAGCCCAGAAACACCTGCAAAAACTTTGTGAGACCAAAGAAGACCAAGAAATGCTGATTATCATGAAGGGTCCTCCACCTAATCACTTCAGTGAACAACTGTGAGAGGTGTAAAAAGCCAGACGTTCTGTGAAATCTTAACATTGTCAAATCCTGCAACAAGCTACTGAAACGCTGATCATGTCCTCCTGAGGATTCATGACACTTAAGTTCCTTGTTTTTGCTGAGGCTGAATAAAA